CTAGCCAGGGCAAACAACTCAAGAACAAAATGTCCTCTAAGATTTAGAATGGTTTGTAAGAAACCACACTGACAACAGCAAAAAATAGGTAAACAAGTTGAGAAGCTTATTTATCAGAAATGCTTTTGAATTCGAGAGAAAACCAAATTAACTCACTTTTTCCATGTCCATATGAAAGGCTTTAGGTATTAAATAGGTCTTTGGAAAACTTTAAGTAGGGTTGTTTTTTTTTTTTTCATTTTGTCTTACCCATCACCTATTGCACATTCACAAAGCATTTTTAAGATCACCTTAACAGCAAGAAAATTTTATCAAGACTTTTAAATTTAAGAGTGAAATAATAATGCAGTTATTTACATTTGCGATGATTAAGTAAGTGGCTTCTCTGACCTGACTTTGTAAGTTGTCTGCAGATCTTCATGGACAGGAATCAAATTCTCCAAATTCATCACCTCAGCAAAGAGTGTCACTGGGCCATACAGAGTGCACAGATTTCCCCCATGACTCACATGGACTCCCTCACACAACTACAGGAATTTATTTTGGAACACAATTACTTTTATTTTAGAACAGTGGTTCATTTCCTTTGTCCATTTTATCACGGTCTTTCATGTGGATTTCCTAGAAGATTAACAGGCTCAGATTCTCCATTCACTTCCAGCTGCTCTGCCACCAGCTCATGAGAAACTATCTTCATGCTATGTTGCCAGGAAATAACTCCTGGGTATCCAAACTAAATCATTTCAGGCTAGTCTGAGAATCTTTTACTATCTTGAGCCCTACAAAGTAACATGTTCACCAAGGGGCAGATTTTCCCAAATATAAAAGTGCATTCATGCAATCACTGAACAAAAAGGAATTGAAATTATACCAGAAGATCTTCTATACATAAGCAGGTTCAAGTTATCTAGAGCATTTTTCTGCTCTTAAAAAAAGTTTTCCGACAGTATTCCACAAACATTCAGCTTCATATTTTTGAGTGTGCAATCCTGCTCCATCTATCCTACTTCAGACATGCTACTGCCAGTCTACTAATGACTGTGTTGATCAGTACTGGGGTCAGGACTGATCCTTGCAGAACCCCACCCTGCAAGCCAGCAGTGAACTACTCTCACACCTTGTCTTTCAGTAAGGCTCTTTAACAAGTTATTCAGATCACCTCAGAGTACTCTTAACTAGAACAGATTTTCCCACTTTGCCTATGGCAATGCCATGGAGGACAGTGTTCAACGCCCATTAAGGCCCAGCTATATCAGGTTTACTGTTTCTGCTTGGTGCATGTGAAACTGTAAAGAGCATGCCTGTATGTAAACACCAGGTTTTGCATACACATGGTGACATGGGTTACAACAAAGACCATATGGACTTTTAAAAAACTGTCCTCAAGTGGGGGTGATTGTAGAGAAGGTAAAAATAACATTTGATTCTCATAGGAACAGATATTTCATTAACGAATGTTTTGGGAGACTAAAGATAGTACCAATGCATACTAAATTACATGTTTCATGAGATTCAGATTTCAGCTGACAACATATCTTTATTGGCCTACCAAGTAGCTGAGATGTTCCAGAAAGGCAACACAGGCTTCTGTACTAAAGAACTGGCATTCAGAGAAAGGGATTTGCTTCTTCACTGAATTGCCTGTATTTCCAGATTTACATACCTTTCACACTAGAGAGCTGCAGGCAATTCCAAACCTCGCTTCTTCTGAATCATGAATTTTATGGAACTTTTCTGCTTTCTCCAGAAAAAGTATGCAAAGCCAAGTGGATGATTTTCACCCTTTGTCAGGTCAAAAGGATGGCGTCATCTTTCTTTCTGCGGGTATCACATCAGCTTTTAGAGCACAAGCAAAGATTGGAGAATGACAGGATGAAGAAGAATGAAGGATATCATAAGAAGACCCGCATTAAAAGAAGAGGTCATTACTTCTACATTATAGGCCTGAAAGTTCTTGTTTCTTTTCTCTTTCACTTTCCTTCACATATGCACTGACTCTAGATTTGTACTTGCAGAAAAACTTCCAGCTGAAGGCATCAGCAATACCAGAATGCGAACCAAAAGGAGGACTACTTTAAAGTCTGACTCATAGGGTGCTAATATCCCAAGACAAAGATATGAGAAATATATTGATATTCTCAAGATGTGAGAAGCAGACTGCATCAGGGGAAGGAGCAGAATGTATCAAGGGGAAAAGCACAAAAAAGGTTGGGTGTGGAGAACTGGAATCACAAGAACCAACCCGTACTGTTAAACCCTAAGTTCTTATCAGTGGAAGAGAAAAAGCAAATGGAACTGTACAGAAATGAGAATGAGATACAGTCATTCATGAGAAGAACAGAATTCCTAACAGAATTAGGAAAACAGAACAAAACACCATTTAATATGACTGTGGACAGAGAAAAGATGAGAAAACATCTTTTTCTTGTGCTTCCAAACTGCTTAGTCCTTCTCTACTTCAACACACTTACAAGACGTTTCCACAATCTTCTGCATCTGTGAGTAATTCCAGCTCTCTGACATGTGACATCCTTTTTAGTCATTGTTAGGGGAAATGGGAAAGGCCACTTTCATCACCACCACTGCACTTTTCCAGTGTTCGGGATAGGAACGCACACTCTGTAACATTCTTTCAGCACAGTATACATTGTCTGCTGGTAATGACAATGTGTTTGCTGTCTTACTTATGAAAATGAATATTGAGCGAAAAAACATCTTTTATATATAAGAGCAGCAATCTTATGTCCCCACAACAGATGCTGTGCCATACACTGAAATTATACAGAGACCAAAGAATGGACTAAGCAAGACCAAATAGGCATTACTGATACAGGGGTCCCCAGTTTTGGTAAGGCTTACACCACCATGTCATCTTCAAGACCTTCCTACCAAAGACTTTCTGTAGCCACAGAGATAAAAAGTTGATGATGATAAATCTGTTGAAGTTGATAAATAGATGATGCTGTGGCTACAAACCAGACAGCAGAGCAAACTATGTGTGATGTTGCTCACTGGGCTTTTTTTGCTCTGTGAAGTTACATGGGATACACACAGACTGACTAAATTCTGAAAGAGAATTGGAGGCAAAGGGGTTGGCCGCCACTTGGGGATCCAAGTTCAGGTTGCACTCTGGATCATTACCTACATAGCTTGAAGTGCTGCTCTGAATTCTGCAGCATGAAGTCACAAAGTGCTTTCAGACTGGGAAACCAAACGTAAAAGAAAGCCTTAGACCTTGCCCTCGAGACTACTGATGGGGCTGATGCTGACAGGAACACAGGTACATCCTATGGCTGCTTGGTACTGGTAAAAGCAATAGTAAGAAGGGCAAGGAAAAGAATAGCATATATGCTGTAAAGAGCATGGCTTCAGTCTTGATTTTGTATCAAACCTTGCACAGTACCATTGCAGAGCAAAGCTACAGCAGAATACCCAACCAATATAGGTAAAATCTTGTCAGTTTATGCATATGAGTGGATTACAATAGATTTAATCAAGGAAGATCGCTTTCTCTTTTGAAGGTTTGTTTTTTACAGAACAGGCTAAGAACACTGCACTTAGGAAACTCTTGGGAATATGACATGGTGCTGGCTTCACTTAAGCAAACTGCAGGAGCATATTTCTAAAACACACAAGCCAAGGAAGGGCATGGTAGGCTGCCATTCCCTCAGACGTTACAACAAAGTTTATTTATGCAGAATCAAAGGAAACATCAGTGGAGAGCACAGCAATGAAAATGATGACTGAGCTTGACTTCTGACCTCTCTGTTTTTTCTATCTCTGACCTTTCCACTTAACCAAACTTCAAACTCAGCCTATGGTATGGCAACAGGCCTTCAACCTGCAACATTTTGAATGCACTCAGCATTTTGAGGTGATGCTGGGATGTGCTAAACAGATTATATGATCAAGTCCAGATTTAGGTAACATCTGTGATAGAAAGATGTCCAAATTGTTAGTCATTAGCTGCTAAAAAGGAGGAGTTGTTATTACTATTATCCCCTTTTTATGTCAAGTTGATGGTGTCCTGTTTCTCAACCCGTTAACCATCTGTTGTCATATAAGAAACTCTGTGACTTTAAGCAGATATTATGCTGCTGACACAACTTGTCTGTGCTTTCAAAACAGTATGAATACCCTACTTAGAAGGTAAAAAAATTTTTGCTTGGCCAGCCTATGTTTAACATTAGAGGTCAACAGTATGCATCCATTCAAAGTTGGAACATAAAATAGCAAACACGATGCTTTAGCTAGTAGTGCCAAGTATGAAATCACAGTGAATGAATAACTTCTATCTATATACCTGCAGGAACAGATAATTCACATAATGAGTATTTGCCAATAAGGGGAAAAGGTGCTTGCCACAAACATAACATTTTGAGAACATTGAAATTCTACATACTGGAGAAACGTTTAAAAGCAGCATTTTATTTGATGGAAAAATAAAAGTATTAGGTGCACACAAGCAATATGCAGTAAGTAAAACACATGAGCATGAGAGAAACAGTGCATCAGATGAATTACTTTGCAAACACAATTTTACCATATTGTCTCCGAAAGTACTATGTGTGAAAGAAATTAGAAAGGTTAATTGGCTATCTTTTTGCATACCTCAGGGCAATGACTTTCAGTGTACTCCAAAAAAGCAATGGGGCTACTAATGATTAGCACTTTAAACACATGCAATCTCATGTTGTGATCACATACTATTCTTCAGGCCAACAAGCAGTTAACTCACAACTTCATTTACTTGCATCCCAGAAGCTTCATTGGGACTACTCATGGAAACGAAAATTCAACAGAGCAAGTAAGAGGTTCAGAGTTCAGTATTTAGCTTTTGCTTGCTTAAGTTAATGCAACTCAAAAAATGTAAGAACATTTTAGTAAACAATAACAGTTAAAAATAATTTGTCTACTTAACTAAACCCTCACCTCATTTGTTTAAAAAAATGAAACAACTGACTTACAGTTTGTTTTACTCTGAAATAAAGTTTACTTACCATGTATTCCATGTTGGAAGCAGGTGGGAAGACTTTGCCTCTGACTTGATTATGATAATCAAGAATGGCAATCATGTCATTCTGTGAAATGTAGCGCTTCCGCCTGGCTTTGGGAATTTTTGCAGAGTCCAGATGAGCTGCCAAAGCCGTCTCAATGTCAGTGAAATTATTGTTTGACAGGAGTAGGTCAGTGGAGTTGGGTAACACTAATGCACTTGTTTCACAGAGAATGGAAAACAAGAAAGCACAACTGATCGCAGCGATTACTGTCATTTTGGGGCCAAAGGAGAAAGACAGGCCACAGAGGTACTCTGCTTTAAGTCAGGGCAGTAGAAAACAGATCTGTAGAAGAGAAGATGTCAAAGATGTGATTCTGTACATCTGGGTAGCAAGACAAAGTGAATTGGCAGGCTGTGATCAGAAAAAATGATTCTGTCTGTCAGCTCAATCATAAAAACAATCCAGTCAGAACACGTGTTACTGAGCAATTTTCAATAACCATATTATCATTAAGAGATAGTATGTTCTTACTACAAACACACCAAATGAAGTATCATTATACCATGACTTACATGATCAGAGCTAGCAGTATTCTTGAAATAGTGACAGTGCTATCACACCACATCAGTCCATAAACCACACTATAAATTTCATATGGGAAGACTGCAAGAAACCTCACAGAATGTTTTCCACTGAAAATGAAAAATACATCCTAGGCTATGCCTATCCCATATGCATGGATTGTTTTGACACAATGTGGCACAGACAAACTAGTAGGTAAAAGAGAACATATAAAGCATGAAAGCAGGACATCTTAGAAATAGCATTCAAATCTTAACTTCAGCAAAATGTGATGAGCATTGATAAAACTGCATGCAAAGCAAACTTATTGAGCTGAATGGCTTACCTCTGGATAATACCAAAAAAGAATACAGCCTATTGTTCTCCCAGTATATATAGCACTCTCCTATGTGATGATAAGAACCTTTGTGAAGGAGTGTCTCTTATTACAACCCCCCAAAGAACAAAACTCTGCTGGTTTTGAAGCTTCTGGCCACAGGAGCTGCTAACAGCTTTTATATGTTACAGGCTGTAGGAGCCAGAACAGGCAGTTTCTCTGAAGGTCTCTGCTTAGCCAAAACGGGAGGGGAGGAGGAGTTCTGCAAAGCACACAGACAGCGATTGGGTGGCATCCCTGGAGTGTAGGTGGTTTGGATATTCAGTCACACCCCCGCTTTCTGTAATACAAAGAGGCAACAGGCAAGACTCTCTTTTTTTCGGTACTTCCTACCTTTTTTTCTCCGTGTTTGGTTTGGGTTTTTTTCCCCTCATTTAACGAGCATCATGCCGACTTGGCAAACGTTATTTTACGCAGCTCTTCGAGCACCCAAGGAGCAGGATGAAGCGCTAAGAGAGTTTGCAAACCCCTGTTGCCCCACTCACAGGAAACGGAACCTATGCAACGCCGTCCCCCCCATTCCGTCCCGTCCCGTCCCGTCCCGCGGGGCGGCCGGCCCCGGCGAGGCGGGGGGATCCCCCCCCTTGGCAGCGGGAGGGCTGGCGAGAGACAGCGCGGGCCAGGAGCCTCCGCTCCATTCATCGCCCAGCACCTCGGATGGCCGGGGTGCTGCTCCTCCCTTCTCACCGCTCCCCCTTCGTCCTCCTCCCTCGCCTGCTCACCCTGAGAGGCACGGACACACAGGACAAAACTCAAGGCAGGTTGTGGCTAAAAAAAAAAAGGGGGCACCCCCCCCCTGGGCGGCGGGAGGGCTGGCGAGAGACAGCGCGGGCCAGGAGCCTCCGCTCCATTCATCGCCCAGCACCTCGGATGGCCGGGGTGCTGCTCCTCCCTTCTCACCGCTCCCCCTTCGTCCTCCTCCCTCGCCTGCTCACCCTGAGAGGCACGGACACACAGGACAAAACTCAAGGCAGGTTGTGGCTAGCCAATATCAGTTACCTGAACGTCTGCCCGTGAGAAAATACGGGAGCGGCAGGCCTGAAAGCTCTCGCCAGTGCCTAGGAGACATCTGTTTCACATTAACTAGCATATAGCTGGAATTATTTAAGCACAGAATGGTCCAGCCACTCACACAGCAGAGCTAAGGGCATAACACCGAGGCCATGACGAAAGCTAGCGGAGAGAAGCAGCAGCAGCCAACAATTGTGTACTGGGGACAGGGGATGGGAGCAACACAATGTCAGGCTGATCCCCCACCGGGGCTAGGCGACCTGGGGCAACCCGTAAAATGAGACCCTTAAAAATGTCATTACAATATTTTGCGACATCATAAAGGAGCTAGGAGAGAGAAACACAACCGGTTTGATATTACACCAAAACTTACTGAGTGCTCAAAAGTTTCAGTAGCTCTATTAGAGAAGCAATATGGGAATTAAGTACTAAGGAAGCGAAGTCCAGTAGTTAGAGCACAAGGCTGGAAGCCAACACTCACGCTCTCCTTTTGGCTCTGCTGCTCACTCGCTGTGTGGCCTAACCCAAGTCATTTAATCTCTATGGGCAATCTCTACAATGGTATAATAGTCTTCTACAGACATGTTGTAAGGCTCAAATAACTAGTGTTTGGTAATGTACTTTGTGATGAAAGGCATTAAGTAAGTATAAAGTATCATCACTAGTTATATTACTATATGTATACCCAGCCTGTCCAAAACTGCTGCTTACAATGCAGCTGCAGGTATTCCTTTACATGATTATACAAGAAACTTTAACACATCTTTTGTCTTTGCAGGACTAGATATTGGATAATTTTTTTCATCTGATTTTCTGTCTTCTGAAATCAAGAGCATATTTGTTTATGTTAATGTCAAGAACTGTCCTCCCATTGTTTGAATACAATGGGAAGAATTCTTAGCTCCTTTGAATTGCCACAGGTCCCTTGATTTCATCTGAGCTGCAATAAGTTATCAAAGGGAAGAAACCAGCTTAACATCTCAGGAAGTTCAGAGGGTAGATTTTACTAGTTAGTCACATTTTGGATTGCTATAATTATTTCCTCATACTCACCCTGTGGCAGTACTTGGAGGTTGTTATGACACAGGGCTCTACACAGAACAGCCAGGATATCCAAGCAAATGTTCTAAAATAGCCATAACATTCACAGCTGAAAAATTGAGCTGTACTTCCCTAAGAACAGGCCAGCTTATGAGATTTCTTTTATTTCCATTGCTTGTGGTTATTGCCTAATTATTTGTTTCCATATCTAACAGGCAATCAGCGTAACTACTCATCTAAATGTAGAAAAAAAGGTTATGAGCAATACTAAGAAGCACAATAGCAAAAAGTATATTGTGAACATGAAAGGCCTTAGGGCGTGAGAGTGCCTTGACCCAAGCCTGTTGTACTGATAAGTTCTCAAATAAGAAGCAGTGGCAAATAGTGGAAGAGCAATAGTAACTCTCAAGCTTGACAACTAAGATACCTTAGACATTCACATGCATGTGTGCATTCAGTTTTCTTCCGAAAGAAATGAATCAATGACCTCACATGCAGTGAAAATTATCAAGCAAGACCAATGAAGCCACACTAAAGTCCTCATGAAGGTCCACACCAAGGAGAGGAATGGATAAAATGAGGAAGAATGAAGAAAAGAACCATCAAAGATGTCTGCAAGCTTATAAGGAGAGAAATGAGAAGTGGATGGAACCATCTGCAACATACACAAAAAGAACTATTTCCAGACTCTTCAGCCCACTCAGAAAAGCCAAAGAGAGAACAATCAGACCAGTGACAAAAGATGATTACAGGCCAGAGAGAGACATTAGTGAGACTGTGGAATGAGTCAAAATATGTGTAAACCTAATTAAGAACAGAATGTGCCAGCTCAGGCCGCCACAACACGGTTACTGAGCAGCCTGGAAAAAAAAAAAAGGGCAATAATTCTTGTACTTAATGTCAGCAAATGTTACCAATGAAGAAAGTTATACAATCAAGAATGACAAAGAATGTAGAAGAAACTAAGAAAGAAAAATAACTCAGTTTATCTTCTGAAAGACTCTCTCAATTCTAGGAAGTGGACTAGATTTTAAGGTTTGACTAGAAGATATCTACTTTTTCACAGAAACAGTGTTCACACATAGGAAAAAAGCAGAAATGGCAATACAAATATTAGCATAAGATCTAGATTTTATCTGGGAGATGGGCTGTACAGAGGCATGGGTCAAAGAGAGCAGGATAAAAGTTTATGAAATACACCATCTTTATCATCATTGCACAATAAAAGTGATGACTCGCAACACTCATGGTTCTTCTGCAGTGTATAGCTTGGATTAAGAATATAAACTCTGATCTTCTAATCATCACTTACTCAACAAAGTAGCATGAACTTTATCATTTTGACTGACATTTATTTTAGTAAATGAATTATGACTGTATAGAAGCTGAATTGTCATCATTTAAGAATAGTGTAGTCACACCAGATTAATTTTATGCTGGTTGCTAACATTAGACAGTTAAGCTTGAAACATTTAGTATAATTTATTTTACTTCTACCTTAGAAATGCCTGCCTGGAATTCCAGGTACTTTTGATATTATAACTTTAATGTCAGACAATTCATTCATAAAATTAAAACCCAAAGTGCATATTTTTTCCTGTTCTGTATCTCCAGGCATAGTAAAGATCAAAAAGTCTTACACATTCAGATTTCTCCCTTGTATTTTTGATACTTCATCATACTGATAACCATCATACAGAGACAATGAAGCATTGAGAAGCTAAGTAGCATACCTATAGTTACTCAAGAATCATGTTGAGAGCAGTACCTTGACCTGAGCTCTTCCAGGTCCTAGACTGCAGATCTACTTCTATCTCTGGATCATCCTGGGAAAGAAGATAAGTTTCCTACTGTATCTCAAGGACAAAAACAAAAAAGAAACAAACAGAAAAAGGATGGCCTTTTCAGCACAGAGTGAAGTGAGAATAGGAAACAAATTCTTCATTAAAGAATGCTTTGGCAATATCTACCTCTTTCTGGCAGTATGGTGACAGAAATGTCATCAGCTATAACAGTGTCATAGACGAAGTCTGAAATCACAAGTCAATCAGGCCTATAGTGGTAGTTTTCAGTTCAAGATTATAACAACTGACTATAAGAAGTGCCCGAAGAGCTATCTAACCTCCTGAAAAAATAATGGCAGCTGAGGAACAGTGGAGCCTAGAAACAATTTCAGTTTCCCCAGGTAGATTTTCTGTTGCCCATAGACTTCTAGTTTCATTTAAGATGCCCAGACATTTGAGATGTCTGCTTTACAGATATGTCATGGGACTTAGGAAGATCTGTGGCTTTTTGAAGTACAGCAGGTGACCAGATGAGGACATCTCAAGTTGCATCAGACACCCACCCTGGCAGATTGCTTGGGTAACTCTTTCAATGTCATTGACTGTATTGACCGTATCTTTGTTGACTACACGGGGTGCTTAAGCGCTCAGCTTATATATAGACACTAGTTTTGGTGTCTTCATCTTGAACTGAATCCTATCCAATATGTCAACATGTACTAGATCCAAATTCCACACAGAAATCAAAGCTTTAAACAGAGAAGATAGAACAAGTACAATATGGACAACCATATTATCAGTATTAAAATTTTTTCCTGAATTTCCAAACAAGTTTAAAATATAACTTCCATCAAGCACAAGCATTAATATTCTTAATATACTGTGGAGCCAATGGCACAGGATTGGGTGGCAACAGTAACAAAATTGGCATATGGAAGGCTCATGAAAAAGTTTGCTCAGGTTTGTCTATTGTTACTGGAAATATATCAACAGCCTAGAAAAGAATTAGTAGAAAATGAGGAACAATTATTTATAATGGGAGGAAATGCTAATTACATGTAGCAAGAACTCTGCTTTGCCAAGAAATTAGTGCTGAGTAGAGTGGATGCTAAAGAGCTGTGCCAGGCATAATATAACATTTCTTAGAAATGAGGTAATTAGCACACTTTGAGGCATTGATAAAATCAGTATTCTTCTCACTAATACATCAGAAGAAACCACTGGCCACAGAGAAAAGAAGCAGAATGGTTAAGAATTTACCAGGCTAAGTGTACTTGTCATATT